ACTGCTGTAAATTTCTTTAACAATATCCTCTGACAAATTCTCTAACCCTACCATGTAAACCCTACAAAACTCTGGCATGTGATATAAATCATTTTTAGGAAACGACCCTAGGACTAGCACGCCTACACATAATAAAGTGTAATTACATTGTCCGTAGTTGTAATATAGTAATTAAATTAACAAGAAATGGTCTCTGGGCAATTTGTCATATCTATGTACTTTCCAATCCATTATATCAGCTTACGTCAACCAGTGGCATTAAAATCTTACAACGCATACATAAGTAGCTTGCAATTTGCTTGGCTCAGTTATGTGTGTGTCATTAATTAGGAGGTTAACTACAAAACATTTTCAAATACTGTTTGAAAAGGTTTAAGTTAAGTATGTTTTAAAAATATGAGGCGACATATGTAAACATGCACATATAACGTTGTAAGATTAAGAGATATACTGAATTATGTATTACTTTTTATGGCAAAAAATTAATTTAATTTAAGTGGGCTGAAACGATAATACTCGTATGTTATGGTTATAATAATGGCGGGTTTTGTCTATATTACAAAATTTTACAAAATTTCTATTCAGTTTACTGGATTTGTTCTCAATCTTTCCTAATCGAGGAGTGACTTTGCTGAAACATTCAAAAATGGATTTCTTGCATGTCCATGCGAGATTCATGACAGATGATGCTATTGCCAGACTAATTTTACACAATTTTTCACCTACGCCTGTCCTATAAGAATTTTTTGCTTCTGTTAAGTATTTTTGACATACGCCTTCAAAAATAATTATTTCTTTAAATATTTCAGGTAATCTATTAAACTAGTTAAATTAACTATGACCAACATTCCACAATCCTCTGCAAAATGAACGTTTTATTAATAGAAACATATGCCAAACACACGGCATTTCAATTCAAAAAATATTATTGTCCGGAGAAAGTCTGCGGTTCCAGTCAAAGAATTGGAGTTCTCGCAAATTAGTTAAACTTTAAAACAAATTGGGGTTTTCTGAATTTTAATTCCATTTTACCAAAACGTAACCATATTCTACTAAATATTTATGAATGTATTTATGTTGGTAAATCTATACTCATAACCTGTCAGCAGGAATTAACTAATGTAAACTTTTAAAAAGTTACTTGAAACTTAAAAATTTTAAGTTAAAATTCCTTGAAACCGCTTATTCCTCATTGTAAGAAATCTTTCAAATATGTAGAATGATTTATAGTAAAGTTTCAGCTACAATTAATCTTCCTTCTGGCAGCTACCCTGTGGCAGTAGTTTGCAAATCTTTTGATTTTTAAATAATTGTTAAATAAATCGATGACAATACTGGCATCTTCAAACATATTTTCTCTAGAAATAATAAATTGATCTACTACTCATATATATAAATGATACGTTAAAAGTAGGAAATTCAACTAATGGTTACCTTCACTTGGAAATAGAACACTTTATTTAAGTTCTTATTTGATTAAGATTCTTATGATCAGTGACACCGATTATTTAAATATCAAAACATGAATGGACATCGTCAAAAATGTACGTGAGCCGCGAATGACAGTATCGGTTAGGGTCCCTCACTACAGAACTAGACCGTTGTATTATAACCCCAAGCATGGCAGTCATGTTTAAGAAACATAATCTGATCAAGAGAGATTTGTGAGTGATGGTCATGTCACTTTTAAATTCGACGTGGCACGGATATTCTGCGCTCACAATGGGAGCTAACCGCTCCTCTCTCAAACGGATGTTGGATATATCAGCGAAAGACAATAGCAAACTTTTGAAGATAAGGAGATTCGATTAAGAAAGGACAAACAAGAAATTAAAATTTGGAAATAAAAAATATGATTCCTTGAATTCCACATACTGCTACAGGTACGAAAAGATTATTGGCCAAAAAACCATTTATGTAGATGGATGTCTAGCTTATTTATCGAAACCCGTTAGGATTTCTAAATTTGAAACCAAAATACGTGTACTCAGATACAATTTCAGTAAATCAGTAAATTATTCGCCAATGTACCGCATAATACCGGAAATGCTGGCACATAATAAATTTCTGCTAAAGTTTTAATACATTGATATTTCATAAAAAATATCGCAGAGCTTAAATCTGAATATGTTCAAATTAAAATCTGCTATTTTCCGCAACGCCGGTAAAGGCGTAGTCCAAAAATATAAACTGGCAAATAAATTTTGAAGCGACTTTTTGCAAACATTGCAAATTTTCTTTATCCATATCCATGACCGCTTTCTGAATTCATCCATTATTTTCCATACAAACCTGCGTCATTGTTGCCAATTGTTTATAAACCATCGCCAGGGTAACCGTTATTAATCAAAACGGCGCATATCTATTTAATCTAAACCCGTGTGAGATTTCGTGAGTGCAATAATGTATTCTTAAATTTAATTAAGTTAATTAATTAATTACTTAAATACCACCGCTTCACTAATTCTAATAAGAGCAAAAAGCGGTCACAAACTTTTAAACGTAAATATGTCCATATTCGTTAACAATTTTTAGCAGTGCATTGTGCCCTTTCCAGAATTAGTTAGACGGACGGCGTAATTTAATATGCTGCATGTTCATGCATGACAATATTTAGGAATAAAGCTAATTAATGTTCAATCAGGAACTAATGAAACTCAAACATCTTAACTTTCACCTCCACCTCGGCTTAGGCTGAAACCATGATCTTCATCAGGGGATGACTTTTTCCATTGTGTGAGTAGAAATATCCACTTCCGGTCTAGGTCAAAGATAGTAATTGTGTTTGAGTCGAGAAAGTTTTTCCAGGAAACACAAGCCCTGAAATAAATCGATGTTAAAGCAAAGTTGTGTATACAAGACCAATTTTGTAATGATGTACCATTTCCATTAATTCTCCGAAATATTGTTATTAAATTGGTTGACATGGTCATCTCGTCCCCTCTGCTTATTGTTCTTCCGGTCAGTTCTAGGAAATATTCATTTTGCTGATTAATAAATCAGGCACAAGGTAAAAATAATGGATTACTTTTTAGCCCTATTTATTTACCTGTTGTTCAGAAACTTCTTCCGTAATATTCCGTAACCTATCTGTCCATTAAGATTTTTTTGGTTATTGTTTCTAGAATATATTTAAGAAAAGTCGTAAATTAAGTGAAGTTTCTGCGTTTGATAGGTGAATAATTTCACCTTATTTTTTTACCTACCATAATCATAAAACTGTGACACGTCGTCATGGACACGTCACCTCAACGAACATACATGTCCACAAGCTGGATGGGAATTTAGTGAGGCAATTTTTAAGTCTTGATTTAACTATGGAGGCCAAAAATTAGTACAATACAATTGTATCACATATTTTTTTTACTTATATTTTCAACCTACCGTTCCACCACCAGATTTACATACTAAAATAAATTTCCGAAAATCCTGACTCCTTTTTCTTCTGCATTTAAGTACTTCGTCCCGAGCAATTTGCGTATGTAGAGTGAGGTGAAATTGACCTCATTTCGACTGTTGAAATGTTTTCCTTTTCTCGAGAGTGTCTAACGAAAACAACAAGGAAGTCGGCTAAAAGGACAAGTATTTAGCTACGGACATATGTATGCGACATCATTGGCAATGCGGAGACCAAGAAACAATGGGTCGTAATAATTAAAATTTTGATAAACATATTTAATTTGGCTTGATTTATTCTAAGGTGAGGTAAAAAGTCCATGGTTACAGTTACACCTTAGTATGCATTCCGTCGACACTTTGAAACCTTGAGCACGCTCTACAGCCAAATGGGTGCGTTTTAGAGAAAAATGTCAAGAGACCTAAAAATCAATTATGGACATGATCTAGTGCTATTGAAAGGGATTTTTCGATCCGACCTCCCTGAAAAAAGTTTTAGTGGAGGGGAATTTTTGAAAATGCGATTTTTCTATGAAGGAGACTAGCTACATAGCTGGGTTATTGATTTTATGAAAGACCGCACCCAATTTATATAGTGGAAAAAAAAATTCAACTCGATTGGTCGAAAAACCACCGAGTTTTCCTTATTAAAAAAATTACCCATTGGTTACCATATAGTAACCATGTAGTTACACCCACACTATGTCGTTATATGTAATTGGTGGATTGTTATTCGCCATTTAATATGCATTAATTTTTGAATAAAATGCGAATTACAATTGAAATTCTCAAAATGAGTATGTAGAGCGACAAAACTGTTTCCATAAATTCGTGCAACCCGATAAATGATGGATGGGTTTAATTCTTACAGAGAAAAAGAATAAAATAAAATATAACTTGAAAAAGTAAAAGATCTAAGGTGAGGTAAGTGCACTTAAAAGTATAAAACAAGCCCCCCTCACCCCTTAACATTACCTCGCCTGGGCTGATGATAACTACTCATCCATTGTGAAAAAATAATCCTTATTTACAAAATTAATATTCATTAGAATTAGATATGATATGCGATAGATAGATATGACATGTGGAAATTGAATTCTTCCTTGAAACATAAAATAAGCAAATCCTGTTAATAGACAGTTTCTGAAACTATCCGGAAATCTCTGTTTTAAAATGCAACTATTTAAAATTTGCTCAAATTAGAAATGATTCAACATAATTAAAACGGCGCAGCTAATAGCCATTGGTTATTATGATTATAATGCGTTCTTTGTGATCATCAGCCCAGGCGAGGTAATGTTAAGGGGTGAGGGGGGCTTGTTTTATACTTTTAAGTGCACTTACCTCACCTTAGATCTTTTACTTTTTCAAGTTATATTTTATTATGAATTTTTTTTCTTATAAATTTTTCCTATTTGATACATTACCAATAAGTGGTTGAGTAAATTTTATTTTTTAGGACATAAACAATAAAATGTATTTATATCAGTAAAATTCATAAAATGAAACTTTATCAATTAAATATTTGTAATATCTCATTTTTAACAAATATAATGCAACTCAAATTAATTTTCCGTAATTTTATTTCCACGAATTATCTCCTCATGATTCTTCCTCCCTTCATAATTTCTAAACCTCCGCCTGCAACTTTCTACCCTACAAAGCAAATGCAATTCTCGCGTGTGTTTCGCAAAATGATAAAGGATTTGCCTTTGAGTTATCATAGCTGGACAAAAATAGCACGAAATGCGTCTCTCTGTGCCATGTTGAAATTTCACATGTGTCCTTAAACACCCTACATATACACTTTCAAACTTGCATAATTTGCACGCAAATGCTTTTTCCAGTGTATGTTTTGCCGATATGTGCTCCTGTAAACAATGCCGCCGTGCAAATTGCTCACCACAAAGCTCACAAATTACTTTACGACGGCGTCCATTATTATGTAGATGTAAATTAAGGTGGCTTCGGAAATGGGCATGGTTAAGGAATTGTTTTCCACAATGTGGGCATTCTCTTCTGGTTCGGTTATTTGAATGTATTTCCTGCATATGAAAAACAAATTAATGATACATAAATTATAAGAAATGCAGAATTAGCTAGTAAAATATACCATTGCAATATTTTTTATACTCTATGACTTCTCAAGCCTGATATCCAACCAAACTCTGCCTCGCACTGGTCACATTTGTAACACTTTTCTCCAGTATGCGTCATAAGATGTTGCTTCATTATATTATTTGTTTTAAATGTTTTAGAACAAAAATAACATTTTGCTTGTTCCCCGGCTCCGTGCACATTTCTTATATGGGATTTAATGGAAATCTTGAAAGCGAACATCTTTCCACATACGAAACATTTATTTTTGTTTTGATCTCTTTCCCGATGTTTTGAGTTAAAATGAACACGAAGAGATTCAGGACAACTGAATTCTTTGGGACATTGAGGACACTTCGTTTTCGCCCTGTTGGCATCATGAGTTTTGACATGCCTCGTCAGACGGCTCTTCACGGCGAAGGATCTCCAACAGGATTCACATTTGTACAATTTAACAGCAGCGTGAACATTATTCTGATGTGCGCGCAATTCAACCAGAGTCTTGAACGCCTTTCCAGGACAAATACCACATTTGTGACTTCTGACGTCGGTATGACGCAGCGTATGCTTCCTTAATTTCGGTTTACAAGCAAACCGTTTCCCGCAATCTGGTACTTCGCACGTGAACCTAACACCAGAATGGGAAGCCAAATGGGAGCGAAAAGTTTGTTCTAGAAGAAACGTTTCCGGGCACTTGGTGCATTCATACTTTTTTCTGCTATCGTGAGGGAGGTGGACCTGTTTGTGGGTCTCCAATTGTTTTGCGGAATGGAATGATCTTGAGGTGACCGGAATATTTTGATTAGTTAGTAAATATTTATTAAGATAGTTAAAAATAATAATTTTCATAATTTATATTTAGAAAATTCGTGTTATATCAATTACTGTTCAATGCAAGAATAATAAATTTGCAAATTTAAATTCATATTCAAAATTTTTGTTCGGTTACTTACTTATCGCATGCTTTAAAATTGCAATGGAATAACCTCTCTTTCAAGTGGACTAGCCTCAAGTGAGCATTTTTGTCATAAATCCTAAAGTAATATTTGTCGCAGAATTCGCACTTAAACTTCTTATCTTGGTTTAACACAGTTTTCTTAACGACGTGTAATATGTTCATGTTAATTTAGCGGATTAATTAAATTAATGCGGAAATATAAAGATCGGAATTTACCTATAAATTCCTTAGAGAAAATAATAATTCACAGAAAAAATTAACAAGAATATGCCATCGAGAGTACGAAAAAAATATTCTAAAGAATCACAAAACTAAGGTGTGAATGAACCAGATTTGGGCATGCATGTGCATGAGTGGTAGGGTAACTTATTTATAAACAGAAAGAAATATTTCGTCCCTTCCAGGTTGTTCACCTAAACCTTTCCTTTGGTTGTGCATGAAATATTTACTTAAGCACAGAAATTCAAGGTTTAAAAATATTTTAAAACAAAGTTTATTTAAGTACATAGTAAGTATATACGAGCATTAGCAGTGATTAATGTTTCAGGATGAGTATTTCGTCTGATAGTAAGCTTCTCTACGTATTCAATACTAGTTTTACTGGCAAAATCTTAAAAGTTCGAGATAAAGAGTTGGGTAACCAATTGGTATTTGTAGGGTCATGTAATGGTTTTTGGACTCCAAACCTTGGAGTGGGCATTTTTAAGAAAAACAGGGTTCTATTTTTTTGGACAGTGGGGTTTAAATCGAAACAATGTCAAATTATGCCATAATTTGATTAATATCTGCGTATGTACATAGTACACAGTCGTTAATTTGTTTGACAGTGTGTAATTATGTAATGCACCTTTTTATGCTAACATGTAGTATTTACGAAATAGACATTCAGAAAGTGTAATTTTACCGATGATCATTTTTATGCATAGTTCCTGCATGTACATACAAGCAGAGTTAGAGAGTATTGACCTGATGGTGATTTTCTGCTGGTTGCATTTTGTAATACAACCGTCCAATCTTCCCTTGACATATCTTCATAAGGCGAAATTATCGTGGCAATGTCAGCCTCTCCAAATACACATTTGTATATCCAGTAATGCTACGCAGTCCTTAAGGGACGGAAAAAATCTACCCTTATACGAAAGGTTCACATATCCACATAAGTAGTTTTGTAAAATGTACCAGGCTATTTCCATCCTAGTTATTGGGTTCCCTTAAAAGATAAAGGAGACAGCCATCAAGCTCGCCATTTTATGATTGCCTTCCACCAACTGATTTCTTTGCTAGGTAAATTTCAAGGTAAAAATTCAATTCGTAATTAAATAAGTATACTTAATTACAATTTTCGAAATACTGTATAATTCTTATCATTATGTAGTTATCACTAATTTATTTTCAATTTCTCTCCAGAAAATAACAACAATGTTCCCAAACCCGGCAAATTTCATTAAATCCATCTTCAAGGAAACACACCGGGGTCGTAGAAATCAGCCCGATGAAGAGAAGAAGAAGTCTTTCTCGATGCCACTGAAGAGGTCAAGATTCCTCCCACAACAAAAATGACACCTGCACCCCCTACTTTCTCCACGATTCGAGAGACTCATCCAGGATTTGAACCACAGCTCGCATACCTGCAGGACAACATCATCACACCATTTCTGAATCGCCCCGTGTACGAGAACACGGGGCAGCTCCGGGAAAAAATGGCGGAAGCGCTTCTCCTCCACGGAACGAACTCCGAAATCATGCCGCTTCTCGTAAAGGCGATAAGGAATGAAATGTCTATCCAGGGAAAAGAGGCAAACGTCGGACTGGTCAAGATTTCAAGTCGCGAATGCCTTGATTCGAATTTTGTTGCGGTCGACAACGTCTTCGTTTACACGGTTGTCATAGACGCGCTAAAGAAAGGGGAGGAGCGCGACTATACCATAATTTTCTGCCATGATCAGATCGATTTGTATGAGAGTGAGCAAATTATTGTGATATTAAAATTAATTACTGATATCTTAGCCAACAACGGTTTTGACTAATACCTTAATAATTCCGTAGGTATTATTTGGTGGTGTTTTAAGAAAAAAATTGATCAATTGACACCTGGAAAATTTCTATTGGTCTTTGTCAGTAATGATAAGAAAAGCGGGGCTTCCGCTAAGTGGAATTTCCAAAGAGGGTTAAAATTTCTTCACATCCCTGACCGATTCTCTACCTTGCAGTGTAGAAAGGTGCTGCTCAAGTCCACCTCTAAATGGGCAAACCAACCAAGCGACGCCGTACTGGGGATCTTGGCGGAAAAGACGGTGGCATTTAGTGGAAGTGAGGCCGGACAGGAAGCCGAGTTGAGGACGTTCTGCCAAAAGGTTTACAGGGTGGGGGTTGCTCGACTAAGGGAAAAGAATGGCTTGGGTGACAAGGATTTCATTCCATGGGAAGATGTCCACGTTAAGGTACAAGATTGGCGAGATGTTTTTAATAAAATGGTGGGCAGTGGGGCCAAGTGGGGGGAGGAGGGCGATGGTTTGGCCGTGCAGACGGATAAGGTAGATACTGTGATGCAAAATACTGGAGGGTGGGTGGAGTTGGAAACGTCTGCAAGTTTTAAAAAGAAGGAAGCCTTGCAGCCTGCAAGTTGCAGGACAAGTTGATCGAAGCGATTGAGAAAGTGTGCGGAAATTTGAATGAAATTGAGATAACAACAACGCCCGACGGGCAAGACGATTTGGTCACGATTACTGTTAAAGTTCCTTCCCGTAAAAAATTATAAGGTTGGGTACCTGAATTATATTAATTTAAGTATTGGTCGAATAAAGAAGTAAAGTTGTGGAATATTGCTTCCTGGGCTAAAACTAATTATTTATTATTTTACAATTAGTTTTTAACATATTTACATGTAACTGCTGGCATATGCATGATCTGAATAATGTTTATAAATGTATTTAACTAACCAGATCCGATTATTGCTAAATTGCTTTTTATTTAGCAAGAATCAGTTAATGAATTAGTAAAATAAAGATGTTGATTGTCTACTTTTTGAAATATGACTCGTCCGCAGAATAATTATAAGCTGAACTATACAGATTGAGCTATGATAATTAATTAAGAATATCAGATGAGATTATGCAGAAACTGGGTATAATTATATAACAAATTTTAGTTTTTAATATAAATAAGTTTTTACAAATTAGTGACGGGATCAGGTTTGGTACCACGGGCACCACAAGATAACCTAGTACTTATATATTTAAAGATTCAATAAAAATAAATACGTAAAAATAATAAGCATATTTTATATGAACAGAGGCAAATAAAATAACCATATGCAATGACCAACGCATATCTGTTAGTATTTATAATTTACTAGTAAAATAGGCCCGAATTCTCATTATTTGAACAATCATCATACTTATCTTTTTAGATAGATAAATCCAACCTCTAATTATACCATGCACCGCATCAGTCCCCGCGTGTTTTATAGCTTTTCGATTTTCTACAAGAAACCTAAATAAGCCAATTCCAAAGATAACTCCACAAACGAGAAAAACAGGTCTTATAAGTTCCACTGAGACAGAGTTTGCCTCATGAAATGTCAATGGTTCTCTCGGATTTCCAAGAAAATCTTGCACAATTTTGAAATACTGATCTTTCTTCATCCAAGTCTTCGTACTAGGTATCAGTTGTGCAATTTTATGAACTTGGTTCCACTTCTGCATCAAAGCTGCTTCGTCCAATCGTCTCCATTCCTTCGCGATATATGGTGACAGCAAATTTCTACTGGCATGTTCTAACTCCACCATTTTAAATGGGGAGTCGCCCCGATTTTGAGCAAAATAACGATTTCCTAACGTCCTATAAACATTCATCTCCATATCCATTACGTCTTCCCGAGCAAAGTAAATAATAGTGGGAGAATCCGTGGTTTCTGGCACGATCACGTTATCAACCAAAGTAGTTACCGGCTGATCTTTAATCGCCAAGACAATCCTTGCTTTGAAATTTTGCAGGAATTCAGTAAATTTTAAACTCTGACCGAGATCGCTCGAGATTAATTCCGGCAGGATTTGCGCCAACAGGTAAGAACTCATTACGCCAGTGTCAACATCAATAAACATGTCGGCAACTACTATGTGAGCATCCCAATCGAGAATATTTTCCATACCTCGCGGTGTCTTGGGAGGAAAGATGACCGCGAAATATGAGTATATCGAGCCCTGGTATAAATTCGCCATGAGAAGTATATACCCAAACAGCTGTGGTAAATAATGAACAACGATACAACACGACGGTTGCCAATCGACTGATAATTTATTGTCAACATGCAACATGATTATATAGACATCATGAGTAATAGAATATGTATTAATAAATGTATGAAACTGTTCCTCACGACACTTTCCAAAGTGTCTGACCTAAATAGAAAGGAAGTGCTAAATCCTTCTCCCAAGAATGGGAATGCTAAGAATGAGCTGACACTGTACAAAGGTCCAATAAAGTCGGTGCCATAAACATCCGTTATGAAAGGCTACTTGAAATAGCTAACCTAAATACCTAATATTAGATCATTTTATCCAACAACAGCCACAGTATTATAATAACAAATGCCGCTTTTCCAGTCCTGTATGCCTTCCCCATACTTTCGTCGACCTGGCCGAGCAAAATGGATAAAATGACAATCAACTTTCCGGCCAGGACAGGCAAGAAATCCACAGCATTGATCTGATTGGCATCCAAGTACATTAAAAATACCAATATTGTCAAGATACTAACCAGCAGACACGCCCAGGTTCCTGTGTCAAATGGGGAACTAAAAGTTTCCACCCCGACAGACGCGGATGGCGGGTTGGTAATTGTTACGAAATTAATGTACGTATAACTAACCTGGTGAATGGAGTACGTAAATAGGTTTAATTCGTTTGTACCTGAGGTTGCAACGAGTCCGAAATTCCTATTTTTAAAATTTTCCAGCAGTTTTTCGCCGACGCCGTACTTAAGACCAGTTAAGTTATACTTATGACCAATTGCAGCCATTGGACAGATGTTTGTGTTTACATATTTGAAATTAACAAATCCATTAATGAATATACTACATGTTGAGTTGACAGATACGTAGCCAAGTACTGCAAATTTGTGCATATTCCTGTTCTGTAAATCCCAACTTTTTTGAATATCGCGGTGGGAAATAGTATTAATAGGGATTATGTTCGGTGCGCTTGTATCGCATGTTAAGCATGGAACAAGAATGTGGGAGGGTAAACTGAACTGGAAAATTACAAGTCTCGCGGAGCCAATATTTATAGCGGCTAATTCCCGACATTCATCATTTTGACTGTTAAGGTAACCATAGATATATTCTTGTCGTAAAGAAATACCGGCAAGGTTGAGCAAATTTTCGCATTTTTGTTCCTCACCTTTTGTCGATTCTAGACTTACAAAGATGCATTTATATCTGGACGAATTTTCTAAATTATTATAGTTTTCTTGCGGGTGCTTAATTTTGTACATTGTGTGATAGAGGAGTTCCAAGCGCAGCGGGGTATAGGCGTTATTTGCAATTACGGGATGAAAATAAGGGAACTCATTCTCGAAGTCTACAACGCTGTTGAAGTATTCCGGAGTGAATATGAAGTACAGATCAGCGTCGATAAAGGCATTATGCCATATATTCGCAAAAACTGAGCAGGGCGTCAACGTGAAAATTGTTGCCAATGAGAAAATACTAGGAAATTTGAGTAACATGATAAGTTTTTGGTTTTTATGGAGCTAGTTAATAGTATATCGGACGCTGTGCGAAATACTTGGCGTATGCAAACTTGAAGAAACCACATAAGGTAGTTACTATCTTCTTTTAGGTTATATAAATATCTAAATAAATCCCAGATAACATTTCGTAACTCTTTCGAGACATTTTCGAGAGCAGTTTCGACAACGAATCGGTACCAATTTCGTTACGATCTCTGTGAAATCTGTACGAGATCACTACTAAATGTCCCCAACATCACCTCGAATTCTTTACGATTCTTCGAATTTCAGTAGCCGAGTTCGCATCGAAATAGTTCCGAAATCTTTACGAATTTGTAATGTATAAATTATGCCCGTTTTCGATATCGTTACGAATTCTAGACTAATTTATGACGAATTCACAACGAGTTCGAAATAATTCGCATGAATTTCGGATTTTTTAAATAATTTTAATTTATTGAATTATGATTTCATATTACCACACAAAACAACAATACGATTAATAATTCGAATCAATAAAATTAATACGATGATCAGGACGACCAGAAATCAGATGACAAAATAGATGACGCCTGGAGTGGGTTGATGGGGCAGCTCTTGCTTCCTAAATAATGACATGATTAGTGATGAAAATATGTGAAATTTATCACATCGTAATACGATGATCGTATAAACTAGTCATATACATACCTTCGTCTTTGGTTGAGAGACGGTCATATGCCGTGGTCCAGGGTCACGTTGGAATATGAACTTTGTGGTGATCCAATCTTGCTCCTATAAAAAAACATAATGAATTATTAGTTAAGAATTAAAATTAATGCGAATTCAAGCTTACATATAATTTTCACTTACGGTCGCGATCTGTGGGTGGGCTTCCTTTTCTGAGTGGGAGGCATCAGGAGAATCCGGGAACTTATTGTTAGAAACAATATTTTTGTTTCTTAAACTTTTTTTTTTCTATTTGTAAGACGATGTCATGGGAGGACCTCAACCCATGACAAGGGCTGAAACACTACTGTTGAGAAATTGGTCAGCAAATATAATGGCCGATCAATTCGTTATGATTTCGGTATAAATTCGAGTTCCTCAAATAAGTGACGAATATCTCACGAAATCGGGACGAGTTTGTAACGATTTTTTATTCAGTTCGATACTGAATATTTTAACCGAGTTCTTAACGAATTCTTAATTATTTTGGTACAGATTTAACTACGATTTCGTCATGCTTTCGAAATCGGTGTTTTTTCGAGATATTCGTAACGAATTCTATACTCGAAAGAGTTACGAATTGTTGTCTGGGATGTATATTACTTTTCTGCAGAAATTTCTGGTTGATTGCATTCACCTGTATAATTATAAACAAATCTATATATTTTGCACGCAATGATGCCTTAATAATCATACCAGAACTACAGGTAGTTGTTCAAAGAAAGGAATATATCAAATTGTCGAAATATAATTCAAAAGTTTTCTGAGAACAAGTTGGCTAAGATTATTAGTTTCTCCATATTTCAACTCATTTATATACTCTTGTAATTATCCTAGGAAAATTTAGCATTTTGCAATGCTGATATATACTCTAGTTTAGTTTATGTAAATACATAAATCTTGCATAATTTGCAATACACGGAATAATGTGTAGTACTATTAACTTATATATTTACCCAGCTTTGTCTGTCTGTCTGTCTGTCTGTCTGTAACGCATCCCTGCAATGCTTTATTTTGCATTGAAGGGATAGCAAAAAGGGGCACTCACATATTACGTCGCATAGTGCTGTTCAAGGCTAGAACGTCGGCCGCAGCCAGATCTCCAGCCCGACCGTCGGCCCGATCGTCGGGCAGTGCCAGAGTCGGGCCGTGGCTCTGGCTGTTCTACTTCACATCAAAGGCCAGATCGTCGGCCCGATCGTTGGCCCGACCGGCAGCCAGATCGTCGGCCCGATAGGCAGCCAGATCGTCGGCCCGATAGGCAGCCAGATCGTCGGCCCGACCGGCAGCCAGATCGTCGGCCCGATCGGCAGCCAGATCGTCGGCCCGATCGGCAGCCAGATCGTCGGCCCGATCGGCAGCCAGATCGTCGGCCCGATCGGCAGCCAGATCGTCGGCCCGATCGGCAGCCAGATCGTCGGCCCGATCGGCAGCCAGATCGTCGGGCAGAGCCAGAGTCGGGCCGTGGCTCTGGCTGTTCAAGCTTACATCGTAGGCCACATCGTGGTGCCACGGGCACCACAAAACCGCCTTGTATATTTATAATTTTTTTAAATCATGCTTACGTATGTACATATTTGGCTTCTTTATATTCTCGCATTTTCTAAGGCAATCAAACGTTACAAATTATTCATCATCCGATTTCGGCACAATTTCCTTGTACTAAATTAACAAATTTTTATTCTGTCATGCTTGTTTTACCGTAAGACCGGATAATGGGTAAAACTTTTACCCATTATTGGTTGATATGGTATTATACGTATATATCCCTACAAAATTCTTTGGACCTCAAAAAAAGGAGGACAACTTCGCTTGCCACACAGAAAAACATGTGGGATACATATTCTTCTATTAAGCAAAATTGTTATAATATTCTACGTCGGTAAAATGCCGTACCCTTAATATTCGTTTACCACCAAGACCAAAATATGGTCACATCTTATGTGACGGGAAGGGCTGCCGTATCCTTTACATTTACTCGCCACGAACGCTGTTTTAATGTATTTGGCTTATAATATTTAATTTCATATTAGGAATTACAGTGGTGCCTCGGACACCACAAAATAACCTAGTAATTAATATTTTTTAAAGCATGGTCATGAAGTGGGAAAGCATTCATAAACTTCACTGCATCCGTAATAATTTTTTAATATAATCAGTCATGCTTACTTATCTCACCTCACTTTTCTCTTAAGAATAAATGCACGAAATACAAGATAATAAACGCAGCAATATTCTATATTTACATTTAAGAATGACGATTTTGGTAGGAACGAATTTTATTTTATCCACAAATCAGGTTATCAATTTGTAATCGATGATTCAGAATATGATGCAACTCTACTTAAAACCTGTATATTTTGACAGGAAAATTAATTACTTATTTTGCACGGGTCAATTATCGCAAATCAATTTAGCTTCCTGGTGGGACATACATACAACTACATTTATATAATTGCTAAATTCGTAATTTAAAGGATTGGACTGTCCAACTTGGTTTTAAATTTGATAAAAAATTATTCTTATCAATTATATCCGCATACCTTGCTACTTATGACATCCGTTGACATACTGATAAATCGTTAGATATTTAGTGTCAAACATTAATCAAAAAGTATTTAACTCCAATAGCTATCATAATAATGATGAAATGCTAGATTATTTTTCACATAAATCGCTATTTCGCCGTGGACATCTACGATGAACTCCGGCTCTGATAAGGTTTGGCTGATTGATACCCACAACTTTTATTGTATTCACTACAAACTTAAAACCCACCCTGTAACTCTTAAACTGCGGACATAAAGAATGATCGAAGAATTTGTTAAGCATTGTAAACTTAATAACTATTAAAAAAATGTGTTATGCAATGTGGTTTAATCACCTTATCTACAACAGCGTTAAAATGACATGCCGAACTATTCCTCGCGATTGTCAATGGTCGCCAGATAATAAATATATAACTCTGCTACGTTATCGCAAAAGATTGGCAACGCTTGTACATTAACTAACACAATCAAATGCTAGATAAGGTGACAGTGACTGCTATAAATCTGACTGCCTTGTCCATCTATTCAATAATCTTCTCCCACCGACGGTACAATGTCCCTTCTTGCACCCCTTATTGTCCGGGTACTGCATAACGCCCGTGTCACTTTCACCCCTACAAATCGAAACGGCTCACGGATTTCCAGGACTTTATAAAAAGTCTCCCCACGGTATCTCCTCCTTGCCTAAATTATCCCCCCGTTACCGACTCAACGATTCCTACATCCCCCACAAATACGATTTGGAACTCCATGTCCTCCTCGATGAAGAAGATTCTGGCATCGGGACCCAGTACACAGTGCGGGGTAAGGTGGCGATTAACTTCAGTCCGGCCAACCCCACAAGCGTGATCACCATGCATTCCAACGTGTTAGAAATTTACACCATTTCTGTCACAAATTTAAATGATACCACGGAAATTATTGGTCTTGTGGGAGAACCTCTGTTTTCCGGGGATGACAGACATTTCATGACCGTCACGACTGATGTGGTGCTACTTCCGGAAAATCGGTATGAAATGACGATAATTTATTTAGCCCCGATCAGCACAACTAGCTGGGATGGATTGTATCTTAGCTATTACACTGGGACAGATGGAACAATGAAGTAAGTAGTGTGGGAGTTTCATAATTAATTTAAAAAAATTTAAAAAATTTAAAGTTTCCATGTCAACTAGACGTATCGCCACTACACAAATGCAAGTTTATCACGCGAGACAGCTCTTTCCCTGCTTCGACGAGCCGGGATTGAAGGCCGTCTTTAATTTGAAAGTTATCCATAAAATGAATTACACCACGGTATTGGGAAACAGTGACATAGCGACTGTCGAACCATTGTAAGTACCCGGGAAATTTAAATATTTGAAATAAAAAAGAATCTAGATTAAAATCTAAAATTTGTATCTCAATAGCTCAATTCCGGGTTGGAATAAGACCACCTTTAATCCCACTGTTCCCATGTCTACGTATCTTTTTGCCACGATTGTTTCCGACTTAGACTACATCGAAGCGCCGGAAGGACTTGCTAATTTTCCTGTCAGGGTGAGGCGAGATTTTTTTAGAATTAATTAGTGTTTTCAATGTTTTTATCAAATTTTAGACCTATGCCCCTCCTCCCGTCATAGCACGAGGTGGTGGCAACTACTCGGCGGAAATTGCGGCGAAATTGTTAACGTTCTTTGACTCATATTTCGGCACGACGTATCGCATGCCTAAAATGGACTCGGTCCATATACCGCATTACAATTCTGGTAAGTTTGCAAAAAAATTGATAATAATTACGTAAGTATGTCGGTTTAGTGGAGCAGTTGTGTCATTCGATTATTTAATCAATTCGTGATGTTCGACATATTGACGTAATTAAGTATGCCTTATCTTTACCATTGTCATGCTGCGTTATCATTCACCTTAATACTTTTAGCAATGGAAAACTATGGCCTAAACATTTACCGGTATCAATTACACAATTTATCTTTATTTACGCAAGCTCGCCAATTTAATTAGACATCCTTAAATAATTTTTTACAGCGAAGATTATCTTATCTATTACCCCGACGAGACTCTGGAAACTGGAAAAAACTTGTTGACGGTTAACTTTTAAATATTTACTCAATTCAATGCAATTAAAAAATTAATAGCCTGAAAATTTACAAAATCCATATTTCCTTAGACCATTATCTCCCACGAATTAGCCCATCAGAACTTTGGCAACCGAGTTTCTTGTAAATGGTGGGATGAACTATGGTGCATAAAACTTTTCTAGTTTCAAGACGAAATTAAAAAATTTCAAATTAAGTACCTAAAAATATTAATTTTTCAGGTTGAACGAGGGCTTCGCTACATACGTCTCCTTCCTCGGCGTAGACGCGGTCCGGCCGGAATTTCGCCACCGAGAGTTTATTCTCAACGATGCCTTCCAGTACTCGATGAAAGTTGACGTTTCGGCCCGTTCGCATCCCATCGTAAACGATGCCGTCACTCCAGACCAGGTGGATTCCTACTTTACCGGAATAACCTATGAAAAGGGAGCCTCAGTTAACCGCATGACAGAGAACTTCCTCACGGAACCGACATATCGAAGGGGGCTGCAGTATTATTTGAGCAACAAGACCTACCAGGCGGTCACTGGGGACGATTTGTTCCACTATTTGAACGTTGCAGCACAAGAGGACAACCGACTTCCGGAAGGAGTTACAGTTAAGAGGATTCTTGACTCGTGGACGCTGCAGAAGAGTCATCCCCTTGTCCGCGTGAGTGTAAGAGATCGGGATAGTGTCTACATTTCTCAAGAGCGGTATGCCGATCCTGATAGTGTTGCCCTCTGGTGGGTTCCCGTCACCGTGGTGACACAGGACGCCCCAGTTTTGGAGAATTGGATCCCGAAAATCTGGCTGGAGGCGGATGTTCCGATTAAGATAATGAATCATGATATAATGAAGTGGATCATGGTCAATGCGGATGCGACAGGTGAATTATTGTGGAATCTAGTATAATTTATTTTGTGCACCAAGGCTATCTTGTTTTCTCCGTTGTCAGGCTATTACAGAGTATTATACGACGACTGGTTCACTGGACTTATTATCAAACAGTTGAATAGTGATGCCACAAAAATATCTCCTTTGAGTAGAAGTCAATTGTTGGATGACTACTTTAATTTGGCATTCTTGGGTAACACTTGCAATTTAGTCACAATTTTACCGAAATACTTTTTTACTAAAACAGGGTGAAATAACTTACATAATAATGTATGGTACTTTTTAATTTTTAGGTAAAGTAGAGATCGAGACAGCTCTAAGTTTGACGGAATACTTAGACCAAGAAGATCATTTTGTCGTGTGGGAAGTTGTATTTACACAATTACGACAGGGCTATATATTCGCGCAGTCGCAAGAAGAAATCGACGCTTATAGGGTGAAATGATTAAAATTTGACTGTAGGCATTTGCATTACGACGAGTATATTAATTATTTTTTCATTATCTTTTTTAATTAAAGAATACAAATAACGATAATTTTTATTATCTCGTTCCAGAACTATTTATCTAGCAGTCTAAACCTTGCCCTCGAACGCATCGGCATTGAACAAAACGATACCGTCCATATAGGTGCAGCTGGAATTCTACGATCCAAACTGATCGATTGGGCATGCGCGCTCCGACTTAATTCTTGTACCAGTTATGCGTTGCAGCATTACGCCGCATGGCAGGAAGGTGAGAATTATAGGTATTAAAATTACAACCGGCATAGCTATAAAAATTGGTACAAATAGTAATTATGCAGGATCCCAAGGGACATTGAAGCCTCGATAACTTGTTCAATTGTTGCTAATAACGGTATTAACGGGACGATTTTTATGTTGGAAAAGTATAATACTACTAGGATTGAAAATCCAGCAAAACTGAGATATTTGAACGCATTGGCGTGCTTGAAAACTGTTCAAGCTCTGTATTAGTAAGTAACTGTTATCAATGAATAAAATAATAATTTTAATTGTAACATCTTTAAAGAAATTGGTATCATAATAACACTTCTAGCGTCCTCGAACTGGCTTTAGATGATTCTGTTATTGAAAAAGCGCATGCCCTTTTGGTCTTCCAAAGAGTCGCCATGAACAACCAGGGTCGCACTGCCGTGATAGAATTCCTTAAGGATGAGCATAGAATGATTATTGATCGCATTGGGGGAGGAAGTGCAGAACCGATTAGGGCCATCATCGCCAGCTTGGGTCAGCACGTGTCAAGGCATAAAGATTTGGATGAGGTATGCAAGTTTTATGTACATCTTTACTGATATTAAATATTTCATATGTTTATTTTTTGTACGTGATTCTTAAAATTTTGAAATCGGTTTATTTTATTTCTGGAACTTTTGCTTAGTTGCTACAATTTGTCACGGATAAGGCGGCTGATCTTGTCGATATCAGGGAATCTCTATATCCGTACTTTAACATGATTCGATCCAACATTGCGTGGAAGATAAGGTTTGGAAAGTCCATCTACGAGTGGATGACAGAACATCAGACAACGCAACCAACAGGGACCGTACCGACATCGACCACTCCCACTTCAACCACTCCTGATGTAACTGCCTCTATTGAAACCTCGCCCACTGTGACCACGCCTACTGTGACAACCTCCATTGCAACAACCACTCTCTCAACATTCTCTACTCCAACCACCCTTAGTGAAACAACTCCCATTGCAACCACCCCGAGTTCTGCAACATTAATTTATCCATCAATTACATTTCTTATTTCTGCATTTGTTACGGTATCCAAATTATTCTAAAGAAACATCATACAGCAGAATTTAACACCTATTTCTTCTCATGCAGCCAGAATTTAACTATAAATTCGTTTTTAAGCCTATAAATTTAATTCCGTAAGAACTGAACCCCATAGTTGACTATAATAAACATGTGGATTTCTTTTAAATGTAAGCATTTACAGGGTGATCTGAGATTATAAAAACCATTTATATTTGGGAAATTGTAACTACAATTTACATCTATGAATTGTTTTAACATTTTCTTTACGTCGCCCCCATGCTGCGTACATACATATTTTGGCGCATTCCTGGCCGAATTGCATATCATTCCTCATTGAGAACTTTTTAAACGCAAACAACATTAGAAGCTCATCATCAGCTTCGAAACCCAAAAGATCCATGGAACTGGCATCCTGTGATTACACTGATATTCCTTCTTTTTGGAGAAAATCCCAGATTTACACTCAGCTCCGCTGGCATGATTTTGAAACGTGTGATGAGCAGGAACACCCATTAGTAAAAATTTGTGACACGTATATTTTGATCTTCGAACACATGACATGACGCTATCGGTTAAATATGTATAAGTCAGAAAAAAAAAGTTGTCTTATAACTACTGTTGCAGTGGCCTGCTATTTAGCATAAAAACGAAGCAATTTTAAACAAACTAAAATGCATGAAAAATAATGATTACCCAATGGTTAGGTCATCTTGATTTATTACGACAATATTTTATTTCAAGAATACCGGCACTTCTCATCGATACAATTAAGACATAATGCAGTTTTTTTATTTTGTAGAAAGTGCATTCATGCGTAATAATTATTATTATATTAAATATTGTTATACTTTACCTAATTTTTATTTGGGCCCTATCTCCTAATCAACCCGGAGCAACGTATCTAACAAAACCTCGTCATAGAAATCCAACCCGCACTCCCTCACAACATCGCATGGCTTAATTAGAGAAGCAAACGTTACAGGAGGCATCACCGACTGTCTCGCTGTCACCAAGAAATTGGACAAATCCTCTGGTGATAGAGAGCAGTAGGTCGGGCTCGACTTGGTCCAGCAGTTGCTATGGTGCACCGCCCCTGCAGACTCGAGTGTAGAACAAGTGTAGAACGGATTTGGGACAGACCATGGTTGCAAGGCTGTCTGCTCACAGAATAGCACGTCGTCCAACCATTGTTGTCCGGCGAGGGAAAATGACGACTTCTTTCTTTGGAAGCCTTCGCACATTTTTATCCCGTAGCCAAGTGCGTATCCTGAAATGACAGCAAAGTTTTTTTAAATTAATAACTACAATTTTGATAATTATGTACCTCCGTCTCCACAAGGGATAGTGTTGTCCATGCATCTAAAAAATGAGCAGTCCCCCAATTTCGGCTCACAACCGGTCAAGTTGGGAAATATTTGGGTGGTAGAGAGCCCGAGAAGGGTGGAAGAAATTAAAATGGTTATTATGAACGTCATCTCGTTACTTTTGAAGGAAATAACATGAGTGAAACTTGTTGTGGCTGGGATACTATTTATGAAGAGAATTTTATCTTTAGTTTACGATGCCGCTGAAGATTATGTCACAAAAATTGTAATAAATTTCCTTTAATTTGCCTCATTTTATTAGCAATTTCGGTAAAATTAAGCTGTGTCAAGAACGTTACGTATATTAAATTAAGTACTTGTGTTGAACGCACACTTATCAATTAAATAGTAATGCCAGTATCTAAATCAGATAAAAGTTAGCAGATCAGTTAATCGATGTTGTGGAAATTCTTGTGATCATAAAATTTAAGAGTGATCCATCAACAAATCATTTGTTACAAATGTCCAACACTTTCGAAATTATTTACCACCAGTTACCAAGTAATCATCCTGATTGATGTATAACGATTCCCATATGGACAGAATACTCATGTTTTGTATTCCATGTTGCGGGTGACACACCGTAATTAAATTATGGAATCCAGAATTAAAGGATCACTTAAAATACGGTGTTTGTGGTGATCCTTTAATTTCATGGTAATGAAAGATTATAAGATTTTGTATACTGTTCAAATATTTCCTAAGCTAAATATCGCACAGCTAAAGCAAATAGGAAAAATGAAGCAAATAAATTGCATAAAAGGAAGGTACTCCTTATTTGTCCCCAGAATAACAATTCCTTGCTCAAATTCAGTAAAGTTTTCTCTCACTACTCTATCAGAAAAATGAGTAAATTACTAATTTTGAGTATTAAATCATCCCTCGTACTACTTACTCTCCTTTTTACGGCGTCACATGGTCAACATGCCACCCACTGTGAGGCTATCCGAGACGATTGTTCATTCTATCTGTGTATAGAGACGAAATTGCAGTGTGGTCCGTCTGGTAAATAAATATACCATTACAGAATAAAAATCCTGGAAAATATAAATTTAAACATATATATTGCACTTTTTATCAGGCTACCCACTCGCATCCGGGTACAAGTATTGCGACGCGTTTCTCCAGAAAGCTTCCTCCTTCTCGGAACAGGGGAAGAATTGGACTAGTGAGGTTCGGTTCTGCTTACAAGATTCGTTGGTGAAGTCAAGCATGACCCTCACCCTTTCTAATGTCGTTTACGACGTGAACAATTACACATGTCAACAATTTGAAAGAATTGGGTACGATTCTCACATCCCCTGCTATAATAAGGTTACCCCAAGCATCTGCAGTTTAACGAAGGAGGACGCAAGCAATTTCTTGGTGATTTTATATAAAGAGATTTTCAACGGTGAGTCATGGAAGGTTGGGTGGTCACAGGCCAAGCGGTGCACCAAGGCGGTGTATGCTGCAATGGTGGAAAAAATTGTGGATAGAGTTAAATGGTTGGCGGGGTAAAATTGTATATGCTGAAAATATTTGAATAAGAGCATATTATTTATAATAAGTGAGTGAAGTACAAATACAAAGGGATACAGAAAGATAAACTGTTGTGACTCCAATTACTTTTTGACATCAATATCTCGTAAATCAGGTTATATATTACCAAAATAATATTTATATAAAAATTAATTTCTATAATATCAATATTTCATAATGCTTACTTATATGTATGTTGTCAGATATGAAAATATTATTTCATCCATTTAGTTTCGAATTTTCAATTTTGGCATGCAAACTTACCAAGTTGAATACTTAAGTGGCTTCTTTCCTGCTTGCACAAGAAGACAAAATAATACAAATTGTATTGTACATTTAGTTGCATCAGCCTATAAAATAAATGGAAATAAAAGTTTGAATGTAGTGTTTAAGGAATGAACTAAACTTTCGGATCAATCATTACCAGCAATCACTGATTGCACTTAGCACAATATTACAATTCTGCACTGCAAAAAATACTGATAAGCGCTTTGTGTAAATGCCCCGGGGACAGTGCTATTTGTCCAGTGTAAATAAATATTTATACCAACTTGTATAAATTTATAATACATTGGGACGAGTTTACTCATAAATAAATTCATGAGGGAAAATTTACACCAGTTGGTGAATATATGTATGTATTTAAATTAGACAGTGATAATAACAATATCCGGGGGGGGGGAGTCATATACATTATTCATCCGAAAGCATTTTTTTAAAGGAATATTTGTGATACTTGGTTGTCGTTGAGTTAATTATGCAAATGTTGGATATGTCGTCATGCCGATCTTACAGCACAATTGTAGTTTTTGGCAAGGAAAAAAATTCTGCCCTGATCACGCTGTAGATTTGTTAATAAACAAAAATTATCAACTATGTATATTTTATCAAGTGCATTTACTTCGTTAATACATTTCGTTCGTTTTCGTTCGTGGATTGGGTATAGTTATAGCCAGTTAAGGTCTTAGTTTTTAACATCCACCATTTCTTTATCAATTCTGACAATAAATGTAATCTACGCTTGCAGATAAAACCATTTTCACCATACCAATGCAATCTGAAAACCTACACATATGTACCTTGTTCTCAAACACAAGGTAGAGTATGTGCACAACGAATTTTACGTCTCACTAAATACGTGTCCTCGCTTATAGCAGCTGGCCTGGTGTTTGTACATTACATTAAATAACGTATATACAAAGTAACATTAATTAAATAACTTAATCTAGTCTTCTTTAATTAATGCATAAATTTTTATAAATCTTAGACGTCTATCCCGTTCAAAACTTAGGGAAATATTAAGAGCCCGCGATACCATGGATGATGTAAACTTTGAACCCTTCACAATAACTTATTTTTCCAGCCAACCCTTCAACGTCTTGAGAATTCTTGGTTCTGGTTCCTTTGGATTAGTAGTAGAAGCAGAGCACACAAGAACAAATGTTAAATATGCAATCAAAAGGTTGTATCAAGGCTTCAATTCCTACGAGTAAGTCAAACTTAATTTTATTATTTTTTGTCGCAACAAACACTACGTAGACATTGAGGGAACTCACGACAACGTTCGTAACCTTGATAACTGCGTAAGGTTTGTAAGTTTACAAACTTTACGAACTTTTACAAACATTTCTAAGGAAATTAGACTTACGAAACTTACGCACGTCAAAGGCATGTTTTTGGTTCGTAAATAAAAGTTCGTAAGTTTACAAACTTAACGCAGTTACGAAGGTGACGTGATTTCCCTCATTAATTTGTGATGAAATTTGATAGCGGATCAGAAGTTAAGTCAGCAACAGACCAAATGGCAGAACTCAAATTCTTTCTGAAAGTGGGAAGTCCTGATACTAGTACACAAAAACAACACCCCAATGTTGTGGGGGTCTTAAGAGTTGGCTTTGAAATGCGACAGCAGGAAGAATGGGATGAAGTTGATCCGTTGTGGGAGATTTGGTATATTTTCAAATATTCGACGACTCTTAAAATTGGTAAAAAAATTATTTTTCATTTTATATAAAATATTTCCAGGAAACAGCAGTTGCCCCTTCCAAATTCGTGTTCAAATGTGGAATCTAACCCCCTGAACTTTCCTATAATAGCGTGCATCTCACTGCAGACTGAACTCTGCAATTTAGGCACGCTTCGTGATTGGATGCAAAGGAATAGAACCAGAACTTTAATTAATTCAATTAATTTTGTATCACAAGTAGCGTCTGGACTGCATTTCGTCCATTCCAGAAAAATTGTTCATCGAGACCTCAAACCTGATAACATCTATCTAAATCAAGATTCCGTTTCTTCCGGAATAATTGTTAAAATTGGGGATTTTGGTTTGGCTAAAGTAGGGAAGGAATCACAGAGTATAAATCAGGCTGTCGATGGAAATACACATGCATTTCTATCCGGGAAATTTTCTGCGAGTCAATCTGGCTTAGGAACCGAGATATATATGAGCCCAGAACAGGTAAACTAAAGCAGCCCATTTTTTGATACTATTTAGCCCACATTCTCTCACTATGGGTGACTGGAATTTATTTAAGATCAACGTTGGAGTCAGTGTTCGCCAAACAGCAAAAAAGCATGGAAGGCTGTACTGCGCTTTTGCTTTTTACATACTTTTTTGCTGTTTTGCTGTTTTGCTCATGATTTTTTGCTGTTTTGCTATTTTAACAGTCGCCATCTAGCAGCGTACTATATAACTACCATGTTAAAAATTTCAATAAAGCAAAACAGCAAAAAAGCATCCGATTTTGATAAGCACAAAATCCGCTTAATTAAGCAAAAAAGCCGCTTAATTAAGCAAAAAAGTATGTTTTTCAAAAAAGCGCTTTTTGAAAAAAAATCTGAATTTATAGCATTCTGGACTCCAATTCGACGCCAAGACGGATATTTACGCTTTGGGAATCATATTTCTCGAACTCAGCATTAATTTCGAAAACATATCGACCCGTCTGCAGATAATAACTAATATGCGAAATAAAGATCCTAAGTTACCAAAAGATTTTGAAGAATCTATGCCATTTCAAGTATATACATTTTTAAAAACCGAAATCATTTGGAATAATATTCCTGATGTTTATTTATTTATTTTAGAGCAAGATAATTTTTGACATGCTGTCCGACAACCAGATTCTGCGTCCTACTGCAGAACAATTAGTGCAAAGGTTTGATAATCACGTGAGATCTGTACCACTTGAAAAGTTGCTACTTCCAATGGGCAATCTCAATCTTCCCGCAAGTAGTTTCAGCATTGGTAAATACATTACGGAGTTGGAAACTGCTACCGCAGGGGATGTCGACGTCCCAGTAATTTTCCTTAGTGGCGGAGCTGGTGTAGGAAAACGTGTGGTGCTTTACGAATTAGCAAATAGTCTTGTGAAACACCAAGGCTTTACAAACGCGCCCATGATAACATTGGACTTGGGTTCGGGAAACAATGCGGAAATTGATTCCGCCACATATTTTGCAAATACAAAGCTTAAAATACTACCGTATCTTCAAGAACTTAGAAAAATATTGCCGTTCAGTTTCCTAACTAAATTGAGACACAAGATGGAAACAACTGTTCCCAAGGACTTGAATGGGGATCAGTTGAATGAAAAAATTGACGAATTTATTCAAGAATGTCAGACCTTGAAGAAACCTTGGCTTATGGTTATTAAAGTGCTAAATTATAGCGATGAGCAAGTCAAAGGATTCCAAGAATTTATTAACATCCTAAGAAAGTATGGAAGAAGGCGGCCGCTAATAGTGTTAATTGGTTGCAATCTACCACACTTTGAACACTTCTCTGACGATGGCTTAGTCGACGTTGTTTACACGGAAGTGCATCCCTTCGCTAAAGAGGTTGGTGTGGCCTTTATTAAGAAATATTGGGAAGATTCAAGGTCTGCAAGGGACAATCGGTGCAGTTTTGGAGCTGCCAAGTACTTGGCAGGAGTGAGTAATCAATCAGACGAGGGACGGGAGCTTCTTTCAGGAAAGGAAGAAAGCGTGTATGGGCGTTTAGTCGACTTTCTATGAGGGAATCCAAAAGCTTTGAGAACAGCCTTGGATTTTGTTTTATATAAAAACAAGTCCACAGAAATTTGTGAGGCTTTTTCTGTGCATGATTACTTAAATATGGTAACGTTCAGAACACAGATCTACTGGCAATTCAACGTTTAAATGAATTGAAAAAAATTGATTACAACAAATATGTAATACAACTTGCGGAAGAGATTTGGTGCTTTGATGATACTAATCAAATACCTTAGTTTATAAAAATAGTAATTAGATTAGGGATAGAAATTTAAAAAAAATGTTAGTCCACCGTCTTTTAATTCTTCTAAAGTTTGTACCCACATATTTATGAATCACGTTGCTTAGGATAAAATACGGTTGTGCCACCTCCGGCTTGTTATTATTTACTAGTGTACTTTCATACTTTCAAAAGGGCAATGTTGTACAAGTAGACAAGAATTACGTAAGTATTTAAATTTAAAGCTCAATCTGCTCAAGCAATGATTCTTGTTTCAAAAAAGATATTACTAAATTACAACTAATGCACAAGCTCTACTTCCAGCTTCAATACTTATTGTTATAGTGCACTTTCATGCCTGTAAATATTTTACAAACACACTGCAACCTGCTCACAATAAAATTGAATAAGAGTCTAGAAAGAAATTGCATTATTTGTGTTACTGGCATATTTTCTCAATTTCAATAGTTTCGTATTCGACAGTTTTACAGGGAATAGTTGCTTTTACTCGATAATGTCAGACAAACATTGCAAATTATTCAGATATTTGTGTCTGGAAAAATTCAACTCCAACTCCGCAGTTCAATTTTTGGCTACAAAAATTGTTTAAAAAATAATGAAACACAAAGACATTTTACAGAAAACGGCTTTTAATAAATTTTGAATACAAAATAGAAGCTAACTATGCCGAATTGAACCCATGCATATTTTTAAATAAAAATGTCGTAACTTTTGATTGGGTCCATGTCAATTTCTTTTGTTAACAAGGTTTCTCAACACTATTTAATCATTTATAGTATTCATGGATGATTCGAGAAAGCAGTTAGGGATTACCACTCTAAATAACTAATCTACGCCCAAAAACACAGTACTTTATGCTGCCAGCGTTTTGTGTTTTAATTAAACAAATTCTCACTAACTGCCTGCATTTGCAAATTAAAATTTTTTTCTTTGCATTAAAATTATTAAAACCAGGAGGAATCTATTTTAAACTTTAACCTCAATACCTCTGAATTAAGCATAACCCCAGGTTGTATGATTCCTTGATGAATGCATATAGATTACGACTTTAATGGTCTTATCTTAGTTGGGTATACTAAAACCCAGCAATTTTAAATTACGCAATACCATTTTTATTGACATATGTATAAATATGTTGGTTTCTTTCCCATACTCAATTCCTTGTCCACAGCACAGACACCAACTCGACGCAGTTCGCTCACTGCTTAGTTTAAAAACAAAGATGCATAAATACAAAACGGGCTATTCGTATTTAAATTGTTTTAACTTACAAAACTACAGAACTATCTAATTATTAATTTATATCAGAATTTCTCCACAGAAATCGACGCAATACAATATTACGTTACGTGATAACAATGACCAACGCTATGTGCATAATAATAACGTTGATGAGGATACGACGTCTCCAAAAAAATTCGTGCAGCCCACCCTATCTCGGATATGGGTTTGGATATTGTACAAGTTGTGGTGGCGAGATGACTTCGGCGTGGCCTGGGATAAAAGTGGTTGCCATGTTTCTTGATGGATACTACGTAGCCGTGGTGGCTTTCAAAGGGTTCTTTATGCTGTTTGATGTCACCCTCGTGGCGACGGGGGGCATACTCGATTATTTGGACGTGCTTGCAACGTAAGATATTTTAATTTACTGATTAATTATGGATTAAAAAATTCTTTATGGATGTGAATATATTGCGTGGGCTAATTTACTCACACATTATTCTATTAGGTTTAGCAAACTTGACAATTTTGAAAAGTTTTGAATATTTCCTGTCTACGGGTTTGTCTTCAAAAAAAAACAAAAAAATTTAAAAAAAAGTTTAATTGGTTACTGGATATGATAAAGTAAGTAAAGAACGTCCTCTTAGTTAAGGCACTAGTTGTGGCAACGTTTGGTAGGGGCGAACATGCATTCGGAAAAAATCCTGGTATCCGTTTTCTGATAGCCCATTTCAATAGCTTTAATTTGATATATGACACTTATTCGTTAAACATGTTTAAGGCCATAAAAAGTTTATTTGAAAATAAGCTGCAAGAAAAATGAGTGATTGCGTTTTGTAAAAATACGAAAAAAAGAAATTTTAAAATCACTAGTACTTTTTTAAACAAGTATGCATTTCAAAAATTGTTTTGAATTATAACTTTAGATAGTTTGGTGATTCAAAAAATGTCGAATTCATTATTCAAACCGGTCGCCTTGTAAAGTTATAGATCAAAAGAGTCAAAAAAATGAAGAAAAAAATGCTCAAACCTTGTCCATAAATACCTACCGTCGCTGATTCTAACATGTTCAAAATTTCAAGAAGCTATTTATCACAAATTAAAGCCCATGACTTGAGGTTCAAACGAGGAATAAAGAAAATAGCACAAAAGTACAGGTAGATACAAGAAGGAGGGATCCGTAACCGGAGTCCGGAATTGTTTAAGAAAATGTTCGGAAAACTGGCGATCACGGGTAACGAATCGTACGCCACGTTTAACCCACAAATTCTTCCGGGGTGCCATTTTTTTCAAAGCTCTTATCCTCCTGAAGTTCAAAACGAGGAAAAAGTAAGAAAAAAAGATGAATTTCCAGAAAAATATGGCATTATACCATACAAATCCAGGGCCGGCCAAATTTCAGATCCCGTCATTCTTGAAGGGAATTTTAGGCGACCCATTTATCTCACACGTTGTATAAAAGCTGGATTGGAAGCACTTAAGCTGTGGGCCACTTAAGATTGAGCAGCCTACATTACGAAATTTCAAACAGTCATAAATTTAAATATTCTGAACCTACCTTGATATTTTTTTTTGTGGATAGTAACTAGCACTTGGCCGATCCCCCATTGGCCTCTAACATTGAATTAATTCGTCTGGGGAGTGACTCTATTAAATTTTCTAACGTAGAAACCGGAAGTAACTTCCATTCTTTTTGGAATCTTGCGATTAATTGTCGTTTTGTAGTGGGTACCGGAGTTTTGTATGCTGAATCTTTGAGAATTGACCATAGATTTTCGATTGGGTTAAGGTCAGGACTATTTCCAGGCCACACCCCTTTTCCCCAGACATCAAAACCTTGTTTCTGCAAAAATGCGGTAGATTTTTTTGCAGTGTGTGGTGTGGCTCCATCCTGCTGAAAAGTAATTTTTCTTTGGTACGGAAATAGAGACCTGTCCTGTAGAGATTTGAAATACACAGGAAGAATTTTCTCTCTGTAGTAGTCAGCGTTCACCGACTTGCTGTCCACTACGTGTAACTCGGTGACGCCACGTGCACAAAATCCTCCAGCTACCATAACTTTGAGTCCGTGTTTTGGGGTCACAATTTCAGGCACATTTTCTTTATTGTTTGTATAATATCTCTTATTTTGTCGGTTTCCTACTGGGTTAAGTTCGATCCAAGTTTCGTCTGTAAATAAGATATGGGAACGTTTTTCCTTACCCAGTCTTCCGGCATCCAAAAAACCTTCATTTTTCAGCTTTTCGCCAAATTTTAAACGATCCTGAACGTTTTTTTGACTTCGCAAGGGTCTGACAGGATGTTTATAAGCTGTTACACCCCAATTTTGACTTTTAATATGACGTCGAACTGTTGTACGGCTTACAGTTTTTCCTTTTTCTCGATACCGTTTTGACTCGTTTAACTTCTTCACCACTTTTCGCACAGAACTGCCACATTTTTCAAACAAATTTCTCTTAATTTGAGCCTTGGATGTTGGCGAGAGTAGCCTGCGTCTAGGTTTTCTTGGTTTGTCTTCTAAAGTGTCCGATTTGATCCATTTTGATACGGTATTTCTGGACACTTTTAAAACAGACGCTATTTTGCTGATTGAGTGTCCCTCACTGTGCAATAACTTTATTGCCACTTTTTTATCTCTCCTGGTTACTACTAGATTGGCCATATTGAAAAAAATCAAAAATTATGAAAATCGGTTAACTCAGCTGAGTGTGAGACTGCTCAATCTTAAGTGGCCCACAGCTTATAAACAAGTTTCATAAAAATGACAAGATTTTGTTTTTGCCTGCCCTTTCAACTTGTCACTACGCCAAGAAAGTGACCGAGTACCTCAAAATTAAAAACATCAAATTAGTGCCTAAAGATGTCAACGCATCCAATGTACCCCAAGTTCATCCGATTTAAAATTGCTATCCATTTTCGAAGTCACCATACTCTAGGCTTACCGATGTGCTCGATATCCTTATAAAATTCAAAAGTAGATGGAAGAAAATTAGCGCGAAAGGTTGAAAAAATGGGTCAAAAAATTTTATGAGAAATCCCTGATAAAAAATTGCACAGGTCGATAGTGGGGGTGTTGAATCTTAAACTATTAACTACATTAGAAAGCCACGGGTGTGCTAATGTACATATGCAAATATTTTCAAATTTCTAAACTTATCTGTAAATTTGTAAGTAATTGTTCCAGCTAGTGCCTTAACTTAGTGGACGTTCTTTATCTGGTACCAAACGCAAAAGTTATGAAAATCCGAGCAAAATTGGACTTTTGGTGACAGTTTAAACATGTCAAAATCAGATTTTTCATGGTTTTCTAACCTTTAAGGGGAGTGGAGACTACGCAAATGCGCCTACGGAGTAAAACCCCCATACACGTATCTTTGAATTATACAGACCTGCAACATATCCAACGGGCATCGAATTCTGGCCTGGACAGCATGTGACCTCCTACTCAGTTGTTATTTTTCCTGACTACCATACAATGTCCCCCATGATTCTAGTAAGTTTTTGGAGATAATATTGTACAGTTTTAGGGTATTTTAACTTTATCGCACAATTCAAAACATATTTCGCTTCCTTCTTGTCCGGAATGTTAGTAGGGTTTTTCTTTTCTCAACCGAAGTTTCTTAATACCCTGCTATAAATGACTACAACCTTGGACGTGCCTTACTTCAGATTCAGGCATATCCACTTTTTGTACTCTGACCAATTTATTCTTAAACAGTGATATTTAATTTCTTTTAGTCTTTCACTCCAAACGACACTCCCTTCTAGGATTCAGCTCACGACACGCATTCAAATATACCGATGTCTCCAAGTCCTTGAGAAGGAGCTCAACCACTTTGGATCTACCCAGGTCATTCCATCAATTCTAATAATGGCTCCCATTGTGCAAATATTTTGCACCTTCGTCCTCATCAAACTTTTCAGGACGCTGCCATCCGAAGGGATCATGACGTATCCGTACCTCATACTCATAGCCGTCACGGCATGCATGGTATTTGAGACTTTTGCCGCACAGCTGCTAACAAAGTCGGCGAAACAGTGCGGGGACTGGAAAATGGAGAAGAATTTGTCAAAAGTTAACCGGAAAGCGATAATATCTTTACAACCGATGAGAATCAAGATGGGAAACAATTTCATTGATAGAAGTACAGCTTTGGTGACGCAAGATTTTTG